CCCCAAAACCCCAAAACCCCAAAACCCCTTAAAGAGATATAAAAGAATTAAGGAAGATTTTTATATTTCTGAATTTTTAATATAAATTTTATATCGATTGATTTGATGGCAGAAAAACAATAAGAGACAATAACTAAACAGCCAACTCTCTCACATGCAGATAGTGTTGATAAGCTTTCCTCCAAAAAACGTAAATTGGGGTTATCAACAATTGAAGATTTTGAAGTTATTTCAAAACTAGGTATCTTAATATATAAATTTCATTCAATGAATTTAGGGGATGGAGCCTACAGCAGTGTTTTTTAAGCAAAGAGGCTAGCTGATGGTGACATTTATGCACTGAAGAAAGTAAAGTTACACCATCTCTCTGACAAGGAAAAGGAAAATGCTATTAATGAGGTCAGAATATTAGCATCGATTAAGCATGTTAACATCATTTCCTATAAGGAAGCATTCATAGAACCAGCTTCGCAATCTCTATGGTATTTATTTTACAACTAATCACAACAATCTAATTCTCTTCTCAGTATAGTGATGGAGTATGCAGATAATGGAGATCTGTTTCAAAAAATATAAGATCATTCAAAAGCAAAGACTTTGTTCTAAGAACAGGAAATATGGAAAGTATTTATTCAAGTAGTGAGAGGGTTGAAAGCCATGCATGATCTGAATATAATGCACAGAGACTTGAAATCAGCAAATGTATTTTTGTACAAGGACTTTACTGCAAAGCTAGGAGATATGAATGTCTCTAAAGTAGCGAATAAGAGGGGACTAAATTATACATAAACTGGTACACCATATTATGCCAGTCCAGAAGTGTGGAGGGATGAGCCCTATGACGTGAAGAGCGATATTTGGTCACTTGGCTGTGTATTGTATGAGATGATTGCCTTGAAACCGCCATTCACTGCAGATGACATGGAAGGACTGTTTAAAAGCGTAACTAAGGGTCATTTTCCAAGGATTCCCAAGAACTATTCTCATGATCTTTGGCAGATGGTAAAATTTCTACTCCAGACTAATCCTCACGCTAGACCTTCCTGTGAATAAATTATGAGCGTTCCGACATTCTCAAAAAGGATGCAAAAGTTTTTCCCTACACTTTACAATCCTTCTAATAATCCAGATTAGAACATACTTCTCAAAACAATAAAGTTTCCAACGAATCTAATGTATCTAAGTGACAAGCTCCCGAAACAAAACTATTAGAGAGATTTCATTCCTTTATAAAGTGAGGAGATAAACTTAAATGTAACTGAAACAATGAAAAATAGCAGTAATAAAAAGACTTAGCAAAACTAGAAATAGTTGCATTAAAAAGAAATGAGGTTGCCTTCTATCTAGAATGTCAAGTAAATCTATCTTGGTGCTGGACCGTTAGGCTAAATGCATAATTAATCGTAATTAGATGAATCAGTAAATAATAATAGTACCAATTTGATTCTGGCATAAAGTCCAATAAAGAGCAGTAAAAAGAATCTAAGAGGACCTGCTAATAGATAGCAAGTTTCTAAAGATCCAAAAAATGACGATGGAGGAATTAACAAGTCAATGATTTTGGCAGATAACTAGAGTGTTAATTTATCAACAAATGATTAGCAGATTTCGCCTGACATTGATGAAACTGTAATAGATGTCAGTCAGCCAATTACGTAGACTGCTGTTGGAAAAAAGAAAAATTCCCACTAAGTTTACAACACTAATAATGATAGTATGAGCGAGGAAGCTAGTAATTATCAAAAAGATGATAATACAAGAGTCTCCTAACTTTTGAATCCTGTTTCAAGCGAGTAAAAACTGAGCGTCATAAATTAGAAAAGTAATAATGAATCGATGCTCCCTGCTATAAACAGCAATAATATTAGCCAAGACTATGATAATTTATACAAATCTAACGAGCAAAGAGATCAAAGTCCACTTTTACTTAAAAATAGAAACTAAAGGAATCAGCCAGCATATCATGCTGTTTCGATGAGCTTAGACTACTAGCAGAAGAAAATTTTAAGTAATTAATCATCTTCTGTGAATTATAACCTTCAAAAGATACTGGGAGCATATCAAGTAAACCCTGGTAGACTCTATCAATCTAAGTAAGCAACGGTTTCTCCACCTTAACAGAGACTAGAAAATTCGGAAAGTCATGATAGACTTCGAGCTTCTCCTCATAGAGTGCAAGACATTTTGAATCGATACAATATCAAGCAACTTAAGTAGAGCTTGAAGTATGGTATGCTCAATAGATCTAAGAATAGGCCTGCTAATCAGGTTCATCAAATATATGGTATACATGGTACTGTAAACAATAACGTTTTACAAATGAATCCATATAGCATGAACTTGAAGTATAATGCTCACTAACTTAATCATAATCACTCCAACAATAATCTTTTGATAAATGGCAGTAATAATTCTAAAGACAACTCGCTAAACTATAGCAATATAATAAATGAGGCTGATGAAGATCCTGCTGCTCTTGCTTAATCTACTATTGGCACAATGAAGAATAATATTATCAACTTGAACAAACTTAAGTAAATTCCAAATGCTTACCAAGGGAACAGCTAATCATTGGTGCTTCCAAAACTAGATAATTCATTCGGCTCTAAGCAGAAATAAAACTAGAATGATATGAGTCTAATATATGCTAAAGGAAGTGGATAATAGAGTCCAAGATCGCTGGAGAAAAAAACCTCTAAGAAAAAAATCATAGTTAAAAATAAAAGCACTTTTGAAGGTTTAAATTAATGATTTGAGAACTGAACAAGTTAATTATAATTTATAATATTAATCTGATTAATTATACAATTTTAAAATCATAATGAAAATTTTTCATCTTAGTAAAATTTTGAAAGTCCTTTTTATTTGGGGTTATTTCAGTCTAGATAAAGTATCATCAAACGATAAATGCACACTGACTTAGCAAGATGCTTAAAAGGTATGAACCTTAAAATTTTCAGCTTCTTAATATATTTTGCTTGAATTCATTTGATCAATAAAACATTTATTAGGCCTATCCATCGTTAGTAAAATGTTATAGGAACAATGTTAATGCATGTTGCATTTCTGCGCATGATGATGCTATAAATGGGGAAATGAGTAGTATGCTACCTGGTGCTTGTCTTAGAAAATTTAATGAACTTGAACTTTACTTCTGTTACGGATGCCATTATGATGAGCCTACTTCTACTTTCTATAATTCAACCGTGAAAAGAATCACCCTTTGTTAAGACTACGCTATCAGGCTCTGGGGTGGTGATTTGACTGAAGTAAGTAATTCATTTTGCTAATGTTTTGTTTTAGCCTTCCACTTAATTTGATAACTGTGGCATTACAACTTATTGGAAGGGTTCAGATAATTCAGAAATTATCATTCCCTCTTTGTACTGGTCTAATGCCTATGAGTTCTTTGCTGATGTTAAACCCCCCTTCTTCAAAACCTATGAGGTTATAATCACAAACAACCCAAATGCAGATTGTTTCGATACCGCTTAATATATGTTTAATGTGACTGGATTTTTAGTCTTACTACTAGCACTCCTTCTCTCTATATAGTGATTTAGTTAATTATGTAATTTTAATTCATTCAAAGATGTTTCATTTATTCAGAATGATGGGGTTTTGGGGTTTTGGGGTTTTGGGGTTTTGGGG